CTCAGCCCTCAGCTGCCGCCGCCCGGCGCTCAGCCGGTTTATAAACTGTCAGGGGCGGGACCGGCTGCTCGGGCCACAGCGCCGGCACCGCCCTCCCCGGGGACACCGCCCCTCCCTTGCACCCGGCGGAGCACTACGTCCCTCCCTGTGTCCTGGTCCCTCCAACTGCCTGAGCTCGCCCATTTCCCCCCATGAACTGAGCCACAAATGTGGGTTTTTTTGGTTGGGAAGTGAGTTGGCGCTCCCCAGGAGGGATGGCACTGGTAAGATAAGCCCCCTTTCTGACCCTGATAATAAATAAAAATCCATAACTAATAATAATGCACCTCACTTTGCAATTCCCAGAAAAGCCCCACATGGTTCCACCACTATTCTCACCATCCCTCACCACAGCGCCTCTCCCCAAGCACCAGGGGGACCCAGACACCCCAACAAAGCCCCTTGATTCCACAGATGAGGCCCACAGAACTAAAGGGGTGCAGAGGGGTGCTTGGCAATGCCGCAGAACAGGAGGGAACTGGGGAGCTTCTCAGAAAGGGCATCCTGGTCTCCCGGGCAAGTCCTGCATTGCACGGCCTCCCTGAACCCGACCCTCGCTCCCCACACCCTCCTCTCTCCCTCAACAGAAGAAACCTCTGTGACTGCCCCAGGCTTGACGCCAGGAAGGGCAGAAGGCCGTTCCACACACAGCCCACACACTGCTGGGGAAACTGAGGCAGAGAAGTTCCTGACCTGACATCACGCAGCAAATAACTGGCCACAGTTGGATCACAGGCGTTTTGCCTCCCGTCAGAGTTCTCTGCTCGTTGCCCTCTCTATTCCAGAGGCTCTAGAATGAGGGAAGCACCCAGGGCCCCCCATTTGCAGACAGCTTACGGAGGTGACACTGATGAAGGGCAATTCTGCAAGTGTCCCTTATGCTTCTGACAGATGCAGAGCAAGTGAGGTGCCCCTATGTTCCCACCAACCTCCACACCCTACCCCTCCTTGGGCCCCCATCTTTGCCCCTTCCTCCACCTAAGGCATTTGCAGTTTCTGATTTTTTAAAAAAACTTGCATGGAACAGTGTAAATCTGTACAGAAATCCCACTGGAAAGTTAAATCCAGGCTTAGAGCAGCTACAATTATTGACATGGAGGGCTGTTCAGTGTCTGGAAATCTCTGCCCAGACATGCCCAGTCTTCTTCCTCTAGCACAGCTGACCTCAGGGAGAACAACACTCCTTCTTCTCGCTCCCCTCCCCCCTCCACACACAC